TTTTTTCTTTTTGCTTATGTGGTGCTGGGGAATCGAACCCAGGGCCTCATGCATTGCAAGGTAAGCGCTCTACCACTGAACCACCTACCCAGCCCCTATCCAAGGATTTCTGAAGGACATTTTTTCATGTAGCAACAGAAGTCAAGGGGTTCTTTTGAAACATTGAAGCTCTCTATGTTTCTGACCTGTTATAAACTCTGGGCATCTAGAAGCAGCTGGACCTTCCTTTCAGTTCTTTAGTACCCCACTGGAAGAAGGAAAGGTGCAAATATTTGGTCTATCAAAGATCTGCCTTCAATAAATACACTAATCACTAGTGAAATTTTTCTTTCTTCCTTTCTTTTTTTTCTTTCTTTGTTTTCTTTTCTAGGTCTGAGACTAGGATTTGAACTAGGTACCTGCTGCTTTCACTCATAGGCCAGTGTTCTACCAACTGAGCCAAGCCTACAACTCCACTTTTTTGTTGTTGTTGTTGGTCGTGGGGCTTGAACTCTGGGTCTAGGCGTTATCCCTCAGCTGTTCAGCTGTTCAGTAGAGCTGCTTGAGCCACAGCGCCACTTCTGGTTTTCTAGTGGTTTATTGGAGACAAGAGTCTCACGGATTTTCCTGCCTGGGCTGGCTTTGAACCATGATCCTCAGATCTCAGCCTCCTGAGTAGCTAGGATTACAGGCTTGAGCCACCGGAGACCGGCCTACAACTCGACTTCTGAAAACTAAATTTCTTTCCCATTCTAGGCCCAAGACCAACATTCTACTATATCCCACTACTGATAACTGACTTTATTAATGTATTTTTGTTGGTCCTGGGGCTGGAACTCCCAGAACTCTTTTTGCTCAAGGCTAGGGCTCTACCACTTTGAGCCACAGAGCCACACCTGGTTAATTGGAGATAAGAGTCTGCTGGGAACTTTTATTTTTTATTTTTGGGTCCGGTTGTGGAGCCTGAACTCTGGGCCTGGGCGCTGTTCCTCAGCTTTCGGCTCAAGGCTAGCGCTCTACCACTTGAGCCACAGCGCCACTTCCGGCTTTTTTCTTTTTGCTTATGTGGTGCTGGGGAATGGAACCCAGGTCCTCATGCATGCAAGGCAAGTGCTCTACCACTGAGCCACCTTCCCAGCCCCTGCTGGGAACTTTTCTGCAAGGACTGTCTTCCAACCGGCCAGGAGCCCCAAGCTCTGACTAGATAACTGACTATAAACATAAAAGTTAGATCGTTAACTCTAGGAACCTATCTATGAAGGCTTGTTTTCTGAATACACTTTAACTCCATTTACAGTCGGTTTAGGTTTATTCAGAAAAACAAAAGACAATCCTGGTATTTTGAAATCTTTGGGACCGATAGCCCCCAGAGAGCTGTATCTTTCTAGTGGGCAAAAGAGAAGGGGCGCTGGAATTTAGGTAAGTGGTAGACTGCTTACCTAGTAAGCTTGAGGCCCTGGGTCTGCTCTGTAGTTAACTGTGCCTCCCCCTGCCTCGCCTTCTTCTAAGCTACTCAGCAAGAAATATCAACTCTCTCATTTACCTCTTTTAAAAATACTATTCAGGGCTGGAAAGGTGGCTCAGTGGTAGAGCGTTTGCCTTGAGCTGAAGAGCTGAGGGACAGAACTCAGGCCCAGAGTTCAAGCCCCACGACCGACAAAAACGAATAAACTAATTAATTAATTGTACTGTTCAGTGTCGCGAGTGGAGAGCTCGGAAGCCGCGAGGTTGGGTCCTTTGCTTACAACCTAACAACGCTAAAGGAAGGAATGCCCTGTACTGGGCCAAAGATAAAGCTGTAATTTACGGTGACTAAACCAACTCTCCGAGTCTGCCCAGTGTGTGCAGATCGTGTCCCAGGGAACTTGGAGTCTGAGGGCTGCCCACCCCCTCGCCCCCACCCCAGATGCCAGGCCAGGCCCGGCTTCCCCGCCGGGGCCCAGGGCGCACGGAGCATCCGTCAGCGTGACCCGGGATGACAGGCTACTGGCTAGGAGCCGAGGGACACGGCGGACCCGCGGGGCAGGGGGAGCGGGGGAGGAGGGCGGAGGGGAAAGGCTGGGAGCCGAGGGGAGGGGAGGGGCCGGGAGGGAGGGAAGGGGCGGGGACTGTTTGTCCTGCGTCCCTCCCATTGGCCGAGGGCTCCCTGGCCCCATCCCACCGCCCGCCTCCCGGCGACGCTTAAAGTGTGCGGAGCAGGTGCCTCCCCGGCAGCCGCAACTTTGTGGCGCCGGTCCGCTCCGCGCGCGGCACTCATCCATCGCCCCCACCCCGAGCGTGCAGCTCGAGCTCCCGCAGGCCGACCCGAGTAGAGGGTCGCCGGGCCAGGACCCAGCGGGCCACTCGGTGGTGGTGGGGGGAAACTGAGGCCAGAAGAGGGCGGAGAGCGCAGCGGACCCCCGCGGGCTGGGAGCGTCCATGCAGTCGTGTGCCAAGGCATGGGGTCTGCGCCTGGGCCGCGGCGTCGGGGGCGGCCGCCGCCTGGCTCGGGGCGCGGGCTCGAGTTGGGCTCCACCGAGCCGGGACCGCAGCAGCGGTGGCGGCGGCGGGGACAGCGATACCGCCGGGGCCTCGCGCCTTCTCGAGCGCCTCCTGCCCCGCCACGACGACTTCGCTCAGAGACACATCGGACCCCGGGACAAAGACCAGAAGGAGATGCTGCAGGCCCTGGGGCTGGCGGTAAGGACCTCCGGGGGGGCTCGCGGGGCCCCTCCGCCCTGCCTGCCCCGCGGCCTCCGGGCTGCACCTCCCCGAGTTCGGCAGTCCCTCGCGTGGGTCTCCCACGCCGTGGCGCGGACCAGCTCTTGCGCTGCGTCTGGGGTGGGGGTGGGGGGCTCGGGGTCGTCTCCTACCCTCGGCTTAACTTTCCTACCACCCGCCCTCTGGGCCTCAAAACCGATGCCTTAAAAACTTGTCTCCCCCCCCCCTCCGCCAGCCCAACCGAGGAGCCCTAAAACTTGGCAGGAAATGGAGAAAGACCCCCCTCCTGATTCAGGGTGGATCTGGCCGGTTACTGCCAGCTTTCGACTGAAATCCAACCTGAAGAGGTTGATTCACCACCGGGCTTCATGATTTTTGCTTCTGGTTCGCTCGAAGTTCCCCTTTAAAAGAAATCCCAATGAAGCGACTGAAATGAGGTTCCCGCAGCCTTTTTGTAGATGCAAAACACAGGGGTGACTCTTTACCCTAGGGGACATTTTCCCCTGCCTTTGGTGTTCACCCGCTTGCGTTCTGATTTCAGAGCATGGATGAACTCGTCGAGAAGACAGTCCCCGCCAGCATCCGCTTGAAGAGACCTTTGAAAATGGAAGACCCTGTTTGTAAGTGGCTCGGTGGCTTCCCCGGAGCTGGCTCAAGCCGATTTGCCGGCTCTGATATCTCAAGATCTGGCTGGGGGTGGGGGTAGGATTTCCCCCGCACTGGCTATACTGTGTGTACAGTTAATTGAAATGTAGAAAGCAAGCACACACCTTACAGTCCGAAGAAGGTAGAAAATCCACCAGAACCTCTTCCTCTCCCTCTTTCTACCCCAAGGGTCCCCAAGGAATCCACAAGCTTCCCCTGGGAAAGCCAGGTGGAAATCACGTGGTGGGGAACCCTAGTTCCCAGGCACCCCAGGGGCAATGTTTTCCATCTCTTTGCAAATCAGGACAGACCATGAAAGGGAAAAATAAATAAAAGAAATTACCAGTTAGAAGTCAGCTAGGAAAGAGTCAGCCCCGGAAGGAGACCCAGACATTTGGCCTCCCTAGCCCAAAGGTAATGTCCAAGTAGCTTCAAACTGTTTTCCTTTCTTCCCTCCCGATTTTATTACTTATTGTAGGGAGGGGTGGCAATACTTTTCTGTTTTGAATCACTTTTGGAGAAAAGCACTCATGATTCATGCTTGTTTAAGAAAGCTCAGTTTATTCATACCCTTCTTTATTTCTTTTAAGAAAAGCTTTCTTTATTTCATTTTATTTTATTGTCTGTTGTAGGGCTTTAACTCAGGGCCTGGGCGGTGTCCCTGAACTCTTTTGCTCTAGGCTAGATAGTGCTCTACCACTTTGAGCTGTAGCTCTACTTCCTCTTAGTCTTCTTTAGAATTTTATTTTACATTTGAAATGGTTTTAATGGTCTAAAGATTGCCACTTCCAGGTACCTTTTTACCTTAGTGCAGACCAAGAATAATCCACATGAAAACTCCAGCAGATCAGGGGAGCTCTTTAAACCAAACAAACAATATAAACACATAAATCTCACTTGGTTTTTTAATTTCCAATTAAAGAGTACTTAATCTCTTTTACTGCTGGAGTTAAGACTGGAGAACTGCTGTTTTGTTTAGTTTCTGTGATAGAAATAATCAATAGACTAACAAGAAATAATCAATAAACTAACAGCTTTGTTTTAAGGTTTTTGAGGTGTGGAGCCTGTTTCTCCTCTGGTGGGCTCATGCTGTGCCTCAAGCTATGCTGAAGGCTGCTACCCTGTTGCTTTCAAATCTGCAGGCCTAGAGCTTGGTCACAGAAAAAATTTGTTAAACTGAGACTTAGAGATCTCAGGAAATCAAATATAGGAAATCAGAAGTCTGATTGAGGGCTGGGAAGGTTGCTCAGTGGTAGAGCGCTTGCCTTGCATGCCTGAGGCCTTGGGTTCGATTCTTCAGCACCACATAAGCAAAAAGGAAAAAAAAAGCTGGAAGTGGCGGTAGAGCGCTAGCCTTGAGCTGAAGAGCTGAGGGACAGCGCCCAGGCCCAGAGTTCAGGCCCCAGAACAGGACCCCCCCAAAAAAAAGAAGTCTGAATGAAAGTACAAAAACAAGTGAAGCTTCAGGTGAATATTTGAACAAGTAAATGCCTTACTGAGTCTCAGTCAGAATGCTTGTTCCTTTATATTATTTTATTTTATTTCCTTTAACAATATGCTTTATGTCCGGGTGCTGGTGGCTCACGCCTGTAATCCTAGCTACTCAGAAGGCTGAGATCTGAGGATCATGGTTCAAAGCCAGCCCGGGCACGTAAGTCCATGAGACTCTTATCTCCAGTTAACCACTGGAAAGCTGGAAGTGGCACTGTGATTCAAGTGGTAGAGCACTCGCCTTGAGCTGAAGAGTTCGGCTACAGCGCCCAGGCCCAGAATTCAAGCCCCAGTCACAGTTGTATATTCTATTGATGACTATTCAGATGAGTAGTTTGATCATCAAATATCCACCTCTTCGTGTGTGTGTGTGTGTGTGTGTGTGTGTGTGTTTGCGTTTGCACATGCGCGCGCAGCCCCTCGCCGCCACCCCCCCCCCACTACCCCTCCCCATGGGAGCTGGTCCTGGGACTTAAATTCAGGGCCTTCCTTTTTGGGTTTTTCACTCAAGGCTGGTGCTCTCCCACATGAACCACAGCTCCATTTCCAGTTTTTGGTAGTTAATTGGAACTAGAAGTTTCACAGACTTTCCTGCCTGAGCTTGCTTGAACTGCAATCCTGATTTCAGCCTCCTGAGTAACTAGGATTACAAGCATGAGCCACCAGTGCTGGGCTTCCCATTTTTCTCTTTGGAAGGAGGCTTCTGATAAGTAATTTACTACTTGAGTGTAAACTTTCACTCCCCCCCAGTCCTTATTACCACCCCAAAATGGACAGGCTGTCCAGTGAAGGTGGTCCCAGCATAGAAGATGATGTATTTGCAGGACATGAATATTTACTCTGAACTGGGCCCATGCCATGTATGGTTAATGAATGTTCTCCACATGAGGTCTGAAAATTGGTTCATGTAAACTTAATAGTGGCCTTTCTATTTAATATGGAGCATCATCCATACTTGGTTTCACATGATGTTGTAGTAGTATCAGATAGGATTTTTTTTTTTTTTTTGCCAGTCTTGGGTCTTGAGTCTCTTTTTTTTTGGGTCCGGTCGTGGGGCCTGAACTCTGGGCCTGGGCACTGTCCCTCAGCTCTTCAGCTCAAGGCTAGC